TATCTAGATGCCTGGAGAGATCTGCAACCTTCACACCAGGCAGTCATGCTCCTGGTTCTATAATCATGTATTCCCTGTCTGGAGATGACCCTTCCCCGACTGGCCAGGTACCAAATCAACAGGGGATGGGGCTGAGCCCCACTGAGGGCTGATGAACTGAATGTGGCAGAAGTGTCTGTCACGAGACATCCGTGGGGGTGGTGGAGATGCTTTGGGTGTCACGTACATCAGGTCTGAGGTGGGAGTCTGGTATCAGGGAGATGAGTCACCCGTCTCTACCTTACATGGGACGGGGTGTAATCTCTTGTTCAGTGCTGATACTGATCAGTGCTTCCGCACAGCCCATGTAAACAGGAAGGGGAAGGGCAGAAATTGGTCCTTGGAGCAGGGACTGCAGCACAAATTCCTTAGGGCAGGATGGACAAATCGTTTGCCCCAAGGGTCGCATCTGGGACCTGACACGGTATGGCAACAAGAATAGGGATGTTACTGCCGTGGGGGAGTGGGTGTCTTTGGGGCACAGCTGGGGGAGAGGCTGTAAGAGGGAGATTATTTCTGTGGCTGTATGGGGGTGCATAGGGTGGGGGGAGCTCTACAGTGTAATGCTGACCCTCCCTGCCTAGTGCCACCATCAGGTGCCCCACACTGGCGGTGTTACAGCCACACGGCTCGTCTGCACCTGCTGCTGCCCAGAGAATCAGGGTAGGGGGGCCAAAAAGTGTATGGTCCCTGTGCTGGGGGAGATAAAGTTTGAGGAAAGGGGCCAGATGGGGAGGGGCTGGAGGTCATCCCCAAGTGGGAGGTCAGGGGCAGTACAGAAGGGGCCGATATAGACAACTTTGCTTCCTCTGCCCTAGAGGGAAAAGGCCCCATGTCTCTCACTGCTAGCAAGTGGCTCTGGCCTCTGGAGTGAGCAGAGGGACAGGAAGTGCCCCCCCAGCTCCTCTAGCCCCCCTGAAATCTTGGGGCTGGGGGATCTCCCTGTAGAACAGCCCTGGAGTCTTTGACACTGGTGAATGGGGAGAGGCAGCGTTAGCCACATCCTCAACCAGGGACAGGCAGTGAGCGGCCGTGTTAGCCACAGCCCCAGGTTGACAGACGGGCAGGGGCCCCGTTGGCTGTGGCACAAGGCCAGGGACCGGAGCAGAGAGGAAACGTCCCGGTAGGTGGGAGTGGCCGTGACCTGAGAATTGTCCAATGGGCACCTTGGCCCATAGACCATCTCCAGTGGGCGTTCCTGGACAGGAGTGTATGTGGGGCCTTCTGATTGGCTGGCTCTGCCCCCGCTCTGCCCCCACTTGGGACACAAGCCTTATAAGCTTCAGGCCAGAGGGACCGGCTCTGTGCCCGGCCCGGGATGGCTCTGACGATGCAGCTTTTGGTGCTGGGGCTTTTCCTCTGGGCCTTCCTCCTGCCCCCTGGGCACTGGGCTGGTGAGTGGGGGAAGGGTGTTGGTTGTGTGCCGAGAGGGGCCCAAGGAGGGTGGGGGGCAGTGGGTTGAGTGAGGGTCTTCCCCTGACTCTCCTGGGGCCGAGGGGCTATTGGGACCCCTGCAGCCTCCCCTGAGTACTTCTGGGGCTCTCCGCCTGTGGGGGGGATCAGCCCCCAGAGGGCTTGTGTGGGCCCCCACTACCAAGCCGTGTCCCATACTTTTGAGATGCTATGAGCTGCCAGCAGGGTGGCTGGGGAGACGCAAGGAGCAGATGCTGGAGAGGAGCAGCAAGAGCAGGGAGCTTGGACCCAAGAAACTTGGGATCGTTTTTCAGCTCAGCCCCGGATCTCTGGGGGGAACATAAAAACAACCATACTGGGTCAGACCAATGGTCCATCTAGCCCAGTAGCCGGTCTCCTGACAGTGGCCAGTGCCAGGTGCCCCATGGGGGGGGGGAGGGACCAAAGACAATGATCAAGCGATTTGTCTCCTGCCATCCCTCTCCAGCCTCTGACAGAATCCAGGGGCACCATTTCTGCCCCCTAGCTAATAGCCTTCCAGGGGCACCATTTCTGCCCCCTGGCTAATAGCCTTTTATGGACCTAACCTCCATGAATCTATCCAGCTCTTTTTTAAACTCTGTTATAGTCCGAGCCTTCACAGCCTCCTCTGGCAAGGAGTTCCACAGGTTGACTACACGCTGTGTGAAGAAGAACTTTCTTTTATTAGTTTTAAACCTGCTACCCATTAATTTCATTTTGTGTCCTCTAGTTCTTCTGTTATGGGAACAAGTAAATAACTTGTCTTTATTCACCCTCTCCACACCACTCATGATTTTATAGACCTCTATCATATCCGCCCTCAACCTCCTCTTTTCTAAACTGAATAGTCCCAGTCATTTTAATACTCTTCCCATACTCAATACTCTTCCCAGCTCTTTCACCTCTCTTCATATGGGACCTGTTCCAAACCCCGAATCATTTTAGTTGCCCTTTTCTGAACCTTTTCTAAAGCCAAAATATCTTCTCTGATGTGAGGAGACCGCATCTGTATGCAGTATTCATAGTTTTATATAGGGGCAGTGAGAGATTTTTTGTCGTATTTTCCATCCCTCTTTTATTGATTCCTAACATTTGGTTTGTTTTTTTGACTGCCACTGCACACGGTCGCATCTGTACGCAGTATTCATAGTTTTATATAGGGGCAGTGAGAGATTTTTTGTCGTATTTTCCATCCCTCTTTTATTGATTCCTAACATTTGGTTTGTTTTTTTGACTGCCACTGCACACGGCATCAAAAAAAGAAAAATGCATGGCTGTCTTCAGAGAACTACCCACAATAACTGCAAGATCTCTTCCCTGATTGGTTGTTGCTAAATTAGCCCACATCATATTATATGTCTAGTTGGAGTTTTCTCCAGTGTGCATTATTTTACATTTATCCACATTAACTTGCCTATGGCGCTGTTATTTTCATGGGGTGCTGATGGAAATGAGGTACCTAAACCCCTTTGGAACATGTTCCCAGGGCATCCAATTTACCTTTCCAGAACAAAAATAATTCAGCGTCTGTTTCAATCGGACACTGTTTGGGGTAAGGATTAAGGGTCCGTGCGGTGACGAGCACAGTAAAAGCTCCCTGCCCTCAGCCTAGGGGTGTGTCTAGACTACAGGGTTTTGTTGACAAAAGTGGACTTTTGTCGACAAAACAATACCTGTGTCCACACTACCGCTGAGTTCTGTCGACATAACGTCGACAGAACTCAGCAGTTTTGTCGACGCTGGTAAACCTCATTTTACGAGGCATAACACCTTCTGTCGACAGTTTCTGTCGACAGAAGGTATTATTGCATGTAAACTGTCCTTTGCATCTACACTACCATGTCGACAAAGCAGCTTGCTTTGTCAACAGAACTCAATGTAGTCTAGATGCTCTTTGTCAACAGAAGTTTTGTCGATAGTATCTGTCGACAAAACTTCTGTCGACAGAAGCCTGTAGTCTAGATGTACCCTAGCTCCCACAATAAAGCCAATCACTGCTATTCCTTAAAGGGCAGATTTTCCAACACTCCCGCCCGCCTGCCCGGCGCCTTCTCCTGAGCAGATTCCAGGAGATGTGTCATTTTCCCGAGGGACATTCTCACTTTGCACTTTCAACCCCCAAGCAATTTTTTTTCAGCCTGAAAATTGTCCCTTAGACATTTCCCAGTGTGACAAGGAAAAAATAGAGCCTAACTGTAGGGCAGAAAAGTCTCCCTGGGGTAGGATTCATTCAGTCAAAGCCAATTCCCTTGGCACCGGTACTTTGGTGAGTCAGGCATGGAGCAGCTAGGGCTGGTCCCTGTGGTTGGGTGGAGAAGCAGCAGCCAGAGAAGCCATGTACTTGCCCTGCTGGGGATGGGCTGGACCAGCCTGGGGTGATGTTGGCTCACAGAGCTGTGAACACAATGCAGGGCAATTCCTGCCCCACTCTTGGGGTGGCTGGCACCGATTCTGCACCAGCCAGATCAGAGCTGCAGATTTCCCCTCCAGCCCCACGGGAGGCCCGGGGTGGGGCAGAGTAGAGCAGGGGGCAGGGAGCCAGGCCCAGGGATCCCCCAAGGAGAGCATCAAGGGGGTAGGATGAGGCTGTGGGAGCCCCTCTTTGGGGTGGGGAGCTCAGTCCCTGTCCAGGGAGGTGAGGGAGCCCTTTGTATGGCCCTGTTCTCCCCCCAGGTGAGATCGTCGGGGGATGGGAAGCCCGGCCCCACTCCAGGCCCTACATGGCCTATCTCCCTGGTGGCTGTGGAGGGTTCCTGGTGTCTGAGAACTTTGTGCTGACGGCTGCTCACTGCGAGGCAGAGTAAGTGCCACCAGGCTGGGATGTGGCGGAGGGTGGGGATAGAGCGGGAGGGGAACCTGGGAGCTTTGGCATTGGCATGTGAGGCAGGGGAGGGACACAGGGTGGCCAGGCCGGGGGAGCAGATCTCTGGGGTCTGATCTTCTATGGCGTTGTTGGCGAGTCTCTAGGGGCCTCTGCAAATCACTGCCCAGCCCCAGAGCCAGTTAAATGAATGGGGCTGTGGCCAGTCACCTGAGCTGGGTTGGGGGATGAAGGCCCAGCCCCTGGGCAGCTCTGCAGGGCACTGAGCTGGAGAGGAGGGATCAGTACAGAAGGAAGGGGAGACAGGGATGCAAAGGAGTTGAGAGTCAGAACACCAGGATGTAAAAGGCCATCCCCAGCCCCCTGACAATCCAGGTGTTGCTCTCACCTTTTACAGCAGCATCACTGTCGTGCTGGGAGCCCATAACATCCAGCAACAGGAAAGTAGCCAGCAACGGATCCATGTGCGCCGGCAGATCCCCCACCCACAGTACGACATGGAGACCTTAAATAATGACATCATGCTGCTGGAGGTACTGACCCCCACCCTCCAGTGACCTCACGCTGCTTCAGATAATGCCCCCACCACATTCTCCACCACCAGTGACCTCACACTGCCTCAGGTTCGACCTCCGTCCCATTTCTTGATTTGTTTTTTCTCCATCTAAGACACACGTATGTTTCCTGTTTCTCTTTGCCCCAACAGCTGAGTCACAATGCGACACTGACCAGGGAGGTGGAGCTGCTCCGTTTACCGACTGGTCATTGCAGAGTGTGCCCAGAGACCTTGTGCAACGTGGCTGGCTGGGGTATGACCAGCTTAACCACAACAACCAACACCCTTCGGGAAGTGAACCTGTCGGTGGTGGCTGATGACCTCTGTAAGAAGGAGTACCACAACTATTTCCCCTCCACAATGCTGTGTGTAGGAGACTCAGACAACTCCCTCTACCGAAAGTCAACTTACCGGGTAAGGAGTTAATTGGCTAACGTGTCCATGGTGTCACAGGCACAGGCAGGGGGAATTTGTAGTGGAAGAGCTGTCAGAGCGCAAATAATTACCTGTTGGGGTCCATGCATCAGCCAAGACCAGAGATTGAAGGGCAATATGTGACCACACCCACGGGCAAGACAGCTACAAATGGCCACAGCCAGAGGTGACAGGGCTCTCGATGGCCAAGCCGGAGGTCCCATTGCTCATCCCCAATCCTTTGATGAGTGGATATTCCATCATTATCCATTGATACACGGCGGGCTGATCTTGATTTAGAAATGGGTGTCACCATATTTGAGATGCTAACACGCAGCCGATACTTCCAGCTTCAGACACAATGGTCAGACGGGGATTTACATAGGACAATCACACATAATAGCTTATAACTTTTCCAAGGACGCCTTACATGCCATGCCTTGTGTAAGTTTGATTATAATTGTGACAATGGGGACTTAGTAAGTGTGGTTACTCATCTCTCTTTGCATACAGCGTTGGAAAGAAGGTCAGGCTAAATAACGACGGGCATTTCTGCTCTAAATTCCCAGAGTCCTTCATCATCATCTTCTCAGTGTGAATTCAGGTTTTCACATGTTTTGGGTTTACCGGCACAGACAGCCTGGGAGATCTGGGTGTGATCGAGACATTAACTCTTCTCTTCTGGCTTGTTCTGGGACAGGGTGATTCTGGGGGCCCTCTTGTGTGTGATGGAGTGGCCGAGGGAATCGTCTCCAAAGGCAAAAGGAACAGCGCTAAGTCTCATGTTGTGTTCACTCGGATTTCCCACTTTGTGCCCTGGATCAAAGCCAACATGCAGCAAATCTAACAACGCCGACCTGATCTTCTGCTACACAACCTGCTTCTGGACACATGGGATCAGATCTTCCTCTGAGTCTGGGCCCAGCTATCTAGCATTGATTTCCCCACCCCTCTGAGCTAGCTGTTCCACTACCCTGGGGCTGGGCTGGACGGGAGCGGGCATACCTTGGAGCAGAAAGCCCATGTACCGTGTCCCTTCCTGCTTGTGTCCTGTGTGGCCCCTGCAAAATGCAGAGGAAACTGTGTGATGTGTCCTGGTAGGTAGGTCACTCATGCTACTGGTGATGCATTAAATGGCTTTTCAGCAGTAAAAGCTGCTGCTGGTGTCTGAACCCTAACCCTGGACTCCTGATTGACTGATTGTGACAGGTGGAGGCCTCCCCCAGCCCTGAGTCCCCGTGAGTGAATCTGGGTTTGGGGCTGATGGTGGGGAGAGGGAGAAACTTCTGATGTGGGGAGAAGGGGAAAAGGCTCCAGTACGGGCAGGCCCTGAGCCCAGGTCAACATGTGAACCCACAAGTAGCCCATTTGGATCCAGTCAGAAAAGGCTAGGGCTTAAAGCCATATATGTACCTACGTAACCAGCTAGATATGGTGTATGTGGATAGGTAGATAGATAGATAGAGGGGGTGTGTGGGGATAGATAGATAGAGGGGGTGTGCGTACGGGGACGGATGGATAGAAGGATGGACAGACAGGTGGGTGGGTGGGTGGGAATTGGAAGAGTAGATTTTTGCAGCTGGAACTCTTTCAAACCCATCCTGTTTCTGTTCTAGACGTAGCGGCCTCGGGAGTCAGGACAAGCAATGGCACAACTTGCTTTTCTCCCCTGAGTAACCTTTGTGCCCGTCCCAGCCAGCAGGGACCCCTCCCGCCTCAAGTGGTTCAGTTCCCACCTGCACCCCTAGATCCTCTTTGTGCATGAAATCACTGAACCCAAGTGTCCTGGGGCCCAACCAAGAGCATTAACCACCTGCCTGGCCTCATCATAGAATCATACAACCACAGAGCTGGAAGAGACCTCAAAAGGTCAAGTCCAGCCCCCTGCTCTAGGCAGGACCATTCCCAACTAAATCAACCTGGCCAGGGCTTTGTCAAGTCGAGCCTTAAACACCTCTAGGGATGGAGACTCCACTACTTCCCTAGGTAATCCATTCCAGTGCTTCACCACCCTCCTAGTGAAATAGTTTTTCCTAATATCCAACCTGGACCTCTCCCATCACAACTTGAGACCATTGCTCCTTGTTCTGCCATCTGTCACTACTGAGAACAGCCTCTCTCCATCCTCTTTGGAACCTCATTTCAGGCAGTTGAAGGCTGCTCTCAAACCCCCCCTCACTCTTCTCTTCTGCAGACTAAACAGACCCAACTCCCTCAGCCTCTCCTCATAGGTCATATGCTCCAACCCCTTAATCATTTTGGTTGCCCTCCGCTGGACTCTCTCCAATACGTCCACATCCTTTTTGTAGTGGAGGGCCCAGAACTGGACACAATAGGCCAGATGTGGCCTCACCATAACCCAATAAAGGGGAATAATGACATCTCTGGATTTGCTGGCAATGCTCCTCCTAATGCCCTTCTTGGCTACCAGGCCACACGGTTGACTCATCTCCAGCTTCTCATCAGCTGTAACCCCCAGGTCCTTTTCTGCTGAACTACCACTTAGCCCGTCGGTCCCCAGCCTGTAACAATGTTTGGGATTCTTCCGGCTCAAGTGCAGGACTCTGCACTTGTCCTTGTTGAACCTCTGTAAGGTCTACTCCCTCCTGGCCTGGCAGGTCCAGCAGCAGCTCTGGATGGCAAAGCTCTGGGTGGATGCATCAGTACCCGAATCGCTGACTTTTGCAACTTGACTTTATTACTGGCTGGCAACAGATTCCTCTTGTCCTGTGCTGCTCTGCAGTCACTGTGTGTGTGTGTGTGTGTGTGTGTGTGTGTTTCCAAGAGGGCGTTGGGATCTCGGGAGGAGGACTCCTGAGGGCAGGCACGTAGGCAATGGCCCAGCCTGTCCTGTCACCTAAGGTAGGTGGAGGACACTTTGCCTGGGAATCTGAACAAGACAGGAGGCGGGGCCCCCTGGGGGCTGGGAGTGGGAATGAGTTTTGGCCAACTTGGGGGAGCAAGATGGTGGAGCCTCCCCTCCTCCCTTCTGACCACTCTCTTCGGGTACGTCTAGACTACAGGGTTTTGTCAACAGAAGTTTTGTCGATAGATACTGTCGACAAAGCTTCTGTCGACAAAGAGCGTCTAGACTACATCCAGTTCTGTCGACAAAGCAAGCCGCTTTGTTGACATAACAGTGTGGACGCAAAGGACAGTGTAGATGCAATAATGCCGTCTATCGACAGAAGACTGTCAACAAAAGGTGTTATTCCTCGTAGAATGAGGTTTACATACGTCGACAAAACTGCTGAGTGTTGTCGACGTTATGTCGACATAACTCCAAGGCAGTGTGGACGCAGGTATAGTTTTGTCGACAAAAGTGGACTTTTGTCGACAAAACCCTGTAGTCTAGACACACCCTTGGTGTTGCAGCATCCCCTGGTCGACACTGTCAGCATCGCGGCCTCTTCTCTGTGCCCCTGTGTCACAGCTCAGGAAGTTTGGGACACAACAATCAACCAATGAAACAAAAAGAAAACTCTTTTATTATCAAAACACAACAACTGTTGTGAGCATAGTGAATTGACTAGTTGGCAAATAGCCATGAAGTGACATAGACTCAGGAAGAATCCCTGGGCTGTAATCGTTACTTACAAAAGAGAAAAACAATTAGCCAGCTCAGACATGATTTGCAAATCCTCATCCCTGGTGGATTATGTAAACATTTCCCTCCTTACACATTTCAAGAAGTCTGTTCTTGGAGAGAGGAAGCATCTCCCATCTCCCTCAGTCTCTGGGAGAAATTGCTCTGCTCTCAAGCAAAGAAGAGAGAGAGAAAATCTCCTCTTCCCCTGTTTGAAATTCCTACCTGCATTTTTATTGGCCGACTGCTTGAACCCCCTCGGCAGACACCTTTGCTAGATAGCTCAGTTAACCCCTTAGTCACTGGGTGCTGCTCAGCACTTGTCCTATTCATGACACCGTCCCTTTCAAGTCTCTCCCCTCTCCATTTCTCCCTTTCCATGTTAAAGTAACAGCCCCTTTCCCGGCACTTCCCATTTTACTGGCACAACCCAACCCCGACCTTGCTTTGTGTTAGGCTCAGAGGAAGCTGCCTTCCGCATTTGATGGCCGTCGCTTGTACATGACACGGTCCCTTTCAAGTCTCTCCCCTCTCTATTTCTCCCTTTCCATGTTAGAGAAACATCCCCTTTCCCGGCACTTCCCATTTTACTGGCACAACGCAACCCTGACCTTGCTTTGTGTTAGGCTCAGAGGAAGCTGCCTTCCGCATTTGATAGCCGTCGCTTGTACTGTTTAGTAGTTCTGGAACAAACAGACACACAGAGAGATGGAATCGCAGATAGACAGACACACCGTCCTGAGAGCGTGAGAGTTAGTGCATCTGTCCATAAGTCTGTCCGTCTGCCCGTCATTTGTTAAAGAAATCCCCTTGAAAGGTCAGAGCTAGGATCTCCTAGCTGACGTATTCAGCTTCCTCTCAGCCTAACCTAATGCAAGGGCAGGGTTGGATTGTGCCAGGACAATGGGATGTGTCTGGAATTGGACTGGTTTCCATGAAACAGGAAGGGAGGGGTCTGACAGCACGGACAGTGACCACAGAGACGACGCAAGTGCCATCTAGAACCAACATGGATGAGCTCTGTGGCCTTTCCAGGTCCATGGAGATGGATGAACACCCAGCCAGCTCCACTTCAGTCCTTACTCGATTCATTCAGTGGAGGCTGTTGCATTCGCGATCAACCCAGACTTGCCTGGCCACCCGTAGATGGCTTCAAGATCAATGCAAATCCCTGTGCATCCATTCTGGACACATCTAGAGCCCCTCACTTCTATTTGAGGCCCATCTCCCCACACTTCCGGGTCTGGATCCACCCACTACTTGGATGCTGCTCATTGCTCCAGTAGGGATCACTCACCTGACCCACAGGCAGCAGGGGGATTGGCTGGGACCTTCTACTAAGACATGGTTGCTCCTGGCTCTGAATAGAGATGACACTTCCCCCGGGAACTTGCCAGGGACAACTTCAAGAGGGGCCGAGACTGAGCCCCACTGAGGGTTGATAAATTGAATGGGGCAGCAGATGTGTTTGTCACTGGACATTTGGGGGTGGGCGGGGGATGCTTAGGGTGCCATGTACACAAGGTCTGAGGTGGAAGCCTGGTATTGGGGAGATCAGAGCATCCTGTCTCTATCACATAGGGAACAGATGTGTGCGGGCAGGGGTGTGCAAAGGTTTTGGCCTGAGGGTAACATGTGGGTCCTGACCCTGTATGGCAACATGAATGGGAACATTAATGAGGTGGGGGAGCATGTGGGTCCTGACCCTGTATGACCACAACATGAATGGGAACATTAATGAGGTGGGGGAGGGGTTGTCTATGGGGCATCATCTGGGGGGAGACTCTAAGGGGAAGGGTCTAGAGGAAACAAGAATAGATCTCTGTGGATGGGGAAGGATCTAGAATGAATGTGGGGAAGGTCTAGAGGATACTAGAATAGATCTCTGTGGATGGGGATGGATCTAGAATGAATCTGGGGGGGTCTGGAGGATACTAGAATAGATCTCTGTGGATGGGGATGGATCTAGAATGAATGCGTGGGGGTCTAGAGGATACTAGAATAGGTCTCTGTGGATGGAGGTGGATCTAGAATGGAGCCACATGAAGTTATGTGAGTGTAGACAGGTGTGGAAAGAAATAGCATGAAGTGAATTGACTCTAGAAAAAAATGAATTAGAGGTGTTTGGATATTCACATGTCTGCAGTGATGTCAAACAGAAAGGCAGCGGCTCTGGAATGGAACCAGGTGGTGAGATGTCGGTTTGTGTGTGTCGGGGTGAATGTTATGGGGGTTCCCTGGATTGTGGAAACCCTGAGCCC